GATCTTACGTGAAATTCACATCAATATCTACCATGATTCATCACGTTGTAACAATCATGAACGCATTTAGACTGGAGATAGAACAATATATTTAATATGGATTAAAATAATGTTACATAAGTGAGACCACGCCTGCAAGGCCGAGCCATGCTATCCGATAAATTCAAACTAATTCAATTCACTGTTCCCGCCATTTCCATCGTTTGATTTTTCCCCGTAATAAATGTAGAATATCTATTTTCCCAGTTGTTTTGTGTTCGGCTTTCAGTGTTGTGTGGTTAGGGCCCAATGACACTAAAAATCAGAGACGAGTGGAGCGGGATAATTTTTCTAGCATACGATCGTCGTACTCGATATCAGCAGTGAGCTCCTCGTAGATGACCCCAACAGACACCTCGAGGTGGTAGATAATCTTGATGAGCACCATATAGATTCATCAAGATTGGTCAATTCTTGGTTGTGCACTTGATGTGCCTTCAGGCAAGATCATATGTATATGGCTACCCCATCCCCGATTCCTGTTTTTCTGTCATTGCGAAACAAAGAGACAGCCTGGTCATTTTTAACCTTGTTAACAGCCGTCCTATCATTTACAGAGACTTGGGGAACCACCGTTGCATTCGGGGATCGTGTGCTGGGAGACCCAAGTCTGCTGAGGGAGTCTATTACCATAGATGCCATGATGGTGCTGACTTGCAGCATGCCATCACTAGTGTTATTACATGCTCCATCGATAGTAGCGCTGTCGAGATCCCTTTTCGTGTCCTATTTGGGACTCGTCAGCTGGATGTACCTGCATCTCACAGTTGATGTTCACTCTGAGACTCGAACCCAGTACCATTCGCTTCAAACGCCTGCGCGTTGTCCACTCAGCTACCAAACGCGCGTCCTGGATTCCACTGCTAGCCACTATCCATCATTGCTTACAAATAGCTTGTGAATTAAGATAATATCGAGGCATACGCACAGTATGCACATATGCCAAAAACAGACTGACCAATTGCATTCTTAAACCTCAATGGGAAGATACAAGCCAAACAATACGAAGCGAATTCAAGTTTGAAATTTTATTTTTCATTTCCATAATTCAGTGAAAAGGGGCTTTGCCATTTTGCGGTACACGGTATCGCGAAGTCCTTGATAATTCATTATTCAGGTGCTGCTATAATAGTTTTTCCGTATTTGCATCGCAGACTAGCCATTATTTCCACTCAAATTTACACTGACGCAGGCAAATAATTTATTTTTATATGAAATAACATGGCCTAAGCGTATATCGTCTTAAAAATTGTATTGTCTTCAGGGCTACCAAAACTGCTCAACCAGCAGCGATACTGTGATAGGAAGTTGTATGCTCTTCGGAAAAATGATGATCACTATCATCATCTACATCCTGAACACAAGCACCTGGCTCTGACGAACTGGGTTTACGTCCATATGTACAGACATATCTCATGAAATAATACCTTACAGTTGGGTCACCATTGTTCTCTTTACATACTGATATAACGTACTTAGAAAACGTATAGTACAAAAACAATTATTAACCACTGAAGTCTTATTACCTTGTGTACTTCTTTCAAATAGTTCCCAAAATTGTCCCAACTTGTAAGTCGAGGAGATAACATCTGTTGTCTCGTCGATATTATATAATATCACTGAAAATTCATCCTATAACATGCATCATCAAGATGACATCGTCTTCGTTACTTGAAGGATGGACATTACCACATATGGTGCGGCTGAGCTCAATTCAAATCTAAAAATGTATTGATTTGACCACTCCTGAAAGCTCCACGAATTGTCGATGTGACGCACCAGTCATCTCACGACAGTTTGACCTTCAAGTGCTCGCACCCTCCATCAATAGACGATACACCTGAAGCGCTGACAATCTCATGCTTCTGTTATTTCTCATCGTTTTCGATTGCTTTTATTCTACGATGCTGACATGATCTCGTTGATCTTTCAGTGATAACCGAAAGCATCTACCTTTCCTCAGTCATTTGAATATTTATTTGAATACGTAGTCCGTCTTCACCTTGCTGTCAATTAACCATAATAACAAGTCTGGCCATAATCATATTAAGATTGGACCACTGTAGTATATCTGTCCCGATCAACTACTCTATTCTTAATTGCTTCAGTTGTAAAATACACACCCATTTCCTTTCAAACACGGGGTTTGTGGATTAGTTACTGAATCCATGCGAAGTTTCTAGGACTGTCAAAGGTAACGTTGCGATTTTAACTCTTTTAAGTCCTATTCTCTTATAGCGTATATCCTCACTTATCTCTGTTATTTTCCCTCAAAGTTTTTATAGCGTACTTCCTCAAATTTCCTCACATTTTAGACTTTAATATAATGAATAGCATGCACAGTCATAGCGTTGCCACAAGTAGCCATACTAAAACCAAAAGTATGACTAGCATTGCTAAAGGTTTTAATTCACACGTAACTAACGAATAGACAATCTCCGTTTATAGCAATAGGATTATAAAACAGCTCAAGACAACAGGAAAAAGCCTCAAGTCAATGTAAGCAACAACCCGAGTTCCCAATTTTGAGGAAAATTTGACCCATTTTAGGGAAGCCACCATAGTGAACTTTGGGGAAATGGCTCAAAAACCTCAAAATTCCCCTTTAACCTTGGTCAGGGTCATTTGACCCCAAAATTTCCTCAAACTTGGGAGCTCGGGGTGGATTACTCAGCTCAATCGTTTTATTTAGTGTTCCATTTTGGAGAGTAGTGTATTGAAAAGTAGAGTAGCCTCTGATAAAAAAACGACGGGGCATATACTGTACAGTACAAAGAAAATGTTTTACTTCAGCCAAGCAATACCGCCTGTGTAAGGCCCAAGACGTAGCAAAGGTAAGCCCTCTCTACTCAGGGTAAGTTTAGATTCAACACACGTTACAGAAGAAATTTTACACCTCAGAAACTATCTGTTAAGCGACCCTTTTAAATTCACGTTTGACACAACAAGTCGTGGGCCTTAAGAGATGCCTGTAGATCGGCAAATGCACGAGAACCAACCAGCATGGTGGTTCGCGGAGTGCCTGCGCTGGTAGTTGATAGTTGTGATAAAGCTCACAAACACGATATGTAACGGTGGCGTTGGGTATCACATGGCATAGGCTTTCACATCACTACAATAATTAGCGTGTCCAGGCTACTTCGTCCTTCCCACCTCACTATCTTTAAGTCTTCTCTGGTGGCTGTAAACTTCAGAAACCGAATGGGTTTAACTGAGGCTCCTCAGACGTGGTAGGACTCGAGGAACGGTCTCTCTAATCACGTCAAATGTTGCAAAAGCCAACCTAGATCGGCAGAGCAACAGCAGAAAGATCAAATAGAACACAATTCGGTGTCAGCTGACCTTGATTAACAGCCGACAGTTTAGATCACAGAGAACATGGTTTCGCTAATGGGACATGATATACAGGCGAAACCCTACAAAGTTCAGTTCCCACGCAACTGACTAACACAGTTTAAACAACAATCTCCTTAAAATCCTGTTGACCCATACGTCTGTAGAGGAGCATCAGGTGATGAGAGTGGTGGTTAACAGTGGATGACCACTTGTGGACAATGAGGGATATGATTCAGTATGCTATCCAACACAATGTACCACAACGTAAGAATACACTCGGTAAGCGAAGACCCTGTGTTAGACGAGTCACAAAACGCTTGCTATTGACCAAACGGTGAGCCTGGGACAAGTTGAGAGTCTCCGTGAAAGATTCTAATCTTAGCTTTTACTTGGCATTGAGAAACAGATGCGACGCCAGAGTCTGCAGTAATGGGATATGTATTCAGATCAAGCTAGCGGCCAAAATCCAAACTGACCCCATATATCTCTACTGATTCATGATCAGGAGGAAGCCCACAAGCCAAGGGATCTGTACTCGTAGAGGGTCAAATGGCTTTGAGATGTCAGAGATCTTTAGCTCCAACTTCACAGACCAACTAAACTAGGAGCCTAGAAGCGCGAAGTATCTCTGAATTTAAGTGGCAGTTTAGGGTCTTGGATTAGTATTTCGGAGACTAAGATCCCTGCGTCCAGCCGACCTATAATCCTGAAACACTGTGCGGAGGCCATCAGGACACTAGTGTTTGACGTGTTCAGGCACTCGCTAGATTTACACCAATTGCTAAGAGAATGTAAGCAGTCCACTCTCTACAATCTTCATTGAGGCGATAGGGAAGACTCAACCTGTTACAGACCTATTGCATTATTCCCAATACCGTCGAAAGTAATAGGAGGACTGTTGAATGAACAAATGAGAGAATAGATAGATAAAAACAACATCCTATAGGAAGTCCAATGCGGACTCAGAAAAGGTAGCTCCTGTGAGTCCAATCTCCTCATTTCATGACAAAGCTGGAAGACCTGTTGGGACCAAAAGATACCGATTTATCTAATATTCCTCGAATTAGCTAAAGCTTTTTATACAGTGCCTCAAGTACTCGCAGCAAAGGTTGCAAAGATGGGTTAGATAGGCCCTATTCTATCTTGGTTCCGAAACTTCCTAAAGAAGCTTGATCTCAGGCTTGTACACCTCAATGTTGTTCCTAACACTGCTTAAAACGTGCGCATGTCCCCACCTTGAGGTCCACCATGTCGTTTACACGTGCGCGTAACAAAGATGTTGGATATTGGCAGTGTATTCTACCTACTTGCTGAGAGGTCGGCTGACATTTTCTTTTGTTCTTTTCCCTTCCAGACTCTTTCACTGTCTTAGCATACAAGGTACTTTCAGGTTAGACGGAAACGTACCCAAAACTGAACACCACAATTATTTCATCTGGATTTGCTTACGCACTGTCCTTCGCTCTATACATCGGATCTTTTTTCCGGTTTGCACATGTAATTGGTCTCTCATTTAGCTTTTAGGAGTTTGACATCTGACCATCTCCTCATATCGTCCTGACGAATTTTCGTTTATACTGCACGAAATCGAAATAAATTTGGCGTTGAATTGTGTTATTTTGAGGATGCAATTAGATTACAAAGGTTGTTGTAACTTTTTGGATACCAGAAGGTTAAACATCATAAATGAAGTCAACAATGTAATTATTATTCAGATGCTCTATCCTTTTTAGATTTCTTTGAAAGGAAACAGCTTCTCTAGTGCTTTCAAGTCATATTTCCAAAGTCAAACTATTCCAAATGAGGTTTTGTGGTCACTAGAATGTTATAACGATGTTTACTGCGGTATATATAATTCTTCTGGGGACCTGTTCTTCACTGCTTCGCAAGGTGAATATGTGATTGCCAATTGTAACTTTTATACAGATGGGTTTATTCGAGTATTTGATTCTTCTGGACATTATTTTCGTTACATGAATGAGATTAATGTTCCTGAATATACCTGGAGTATTGTGTCACTCTCTTTAAGGTGTGTGCATTTCCATTACTTACAAAATTTTCTAGCAATTTGGGGGATACCCTTGTTTTCTGCAGTTTGTCTCCTATTCGTAAGTAACAATGTTTATTTGTAATAAGATTTCAAATGCAATGTTTTATTTTCAATGCATAGTTTAGTTACCATGTCCATTTTGTCAAAATGTAGTTTACCGATTTTCGCAGAACCATTCTTGCTTTTTAAAATTGTTTGTCCCTAGCTTGTGTAATTTTAATAAAAATGTTCCCATAGGATTCTGTGTCATCCTCCCCTCAACTAGTCGGCTAAGTGTGTTAATCAAAATGGGGATCGTACAAACTCAGTGTTCCGTTTTTATCTTAGAGCTATCAGATAAAACTGGACTTCCACAAAATCACTGCTGAGATTAACAGAGACCAACTGATCCATAGTGATCATTTCTGAAGATTGATAGGATCATCCGCTTTTGGGGAATCGCATCATGTTTGATCAATCAGCCGCCATGATTGTCTCCTTAATAACTTGGGTTTTGCGCGTTTTAAGAGATTGAGATACTTCAACTGAGATGTGTCACCCATCCAGGTCACCGACTATCCCGACGTTCAGTCTCGAACAACGTAGCTGGTTAAAAATATCATCAAACTAAGACATATCAGTTCGTGTCATTGGCATTAGGTTTGAGTTATATCTGGAGGCACCTACTACCTGTTAAGATACGGGTGCTCATTTTCAGGTGTAGCTGGGTCCATCTGATATGGGCTTAAATCAATCACAATGTCACATTCGTACTAATTCTTAATTTTTGTATCTAAAGTCATAGTATCGTCCCATTTTTTCCTTTCGAATCGTTCTTTATATTTAACCTTGCCCATTCATTACGTCTGGTTCTGAGTTCACCCAAGTAGGTACTATCAGTAAAAGTCAGTTGATGTTGGTAACGATTAATAATGTTATCGAGAGTGGACTGTAAGCTTCAAAATAAAAACGTCTACTTTAAAATACAGAGATTTTACTAGTTTATTTTTGTTTCATTTCACCAATGTTTTACCCTCATCTTAACATTCACATTTATTTCAGTGTATTTCACCAGTCTAACCGATGTGCGTGATGAGGAGCTAAATCTCAAACATGCCGAACTTCAACCTGGTGTAAGAAATATAACGAAGACTTTTAGTGTTGATTTTCTTGGCGGGAGTAGTAATCAAGTGGTTAGTGGGTAAGGTGTTTCGCTTTGTCTGTATCGGTGTCTTATTTTATTATTTACTTTGTTTGAACTATTGGATTTCTTTTATAACACTTCGCTTATCAACACTTTTGTCACTGTTTTTAATTGACTTATGAATATATGTATAAGTTTGTCTGTAAACAATTATTTGGAATAATCATAAATCTTTATAGTTATAGTACAAATCATTCCGTTCTGTAAGTATTATAGTCAGACATACAATTAATCTCTAATGAACTGTTATCAAGTACAACTGACAAATGTTATGAAATCAAGTGAATAAATTACGTTTTGTTTGCTATAGATCTTCTACATGCATACTAACTTAATAAGTACAATGCAAAAAGTAATTTAGTTATAAATGCTTTTCACAATTATTTAAGCTCACTTAATATAAAAACAGCCCATACTTAAGTTTATGACTTAGTTAACTGCAAGTAATATATGCAGATTTTTTGAGTTAGATGATTACGGTTATATGAATGTCTAAATTCTGGGAATTTGCACTGTTTTACTAGTGTAGTTTCCGTGAATATATTCCCATCACTAATTTTTACTAATAGTTATCTGTGCTTTTAGCTTCGTATTTCATTCATATGTTTATCACATTCAAAACTTGGGCATAATAAAATCCTATTTGGTTTTCACGTATGAGCAACTTATGTTCTGATATAAATGTTCATCTTTCTAAGCTGCCGTATAAATCACAACAAGGGCCAATTGAAAGTAACAAGATACATATCAGATTCTTGGCAGTGTTAGTTGCATCAATGATTCAAGAAAAATCAGACAGGAAGTATTGATTGAATAGAATGAATTAAACAAAGTAAAAAGTATGAAACTGTAAAAGCTCATAATTTCAAAGGTGGAGAACGAATGCAACTGCGCTGCTGCAATCAGGATCCCTAAGATCTTCAGACATAAGCGAAATATTATGTCTCTTAATAGCTGAGTTTTACACATTATTGCATTTTACCCTGTAATACTACTGTAAAACGTTGTCGTTAAGCATACAGAATCATCAGTTATGGATCGTCTTTGTGTATTTCTATTGGTAACACTATGTTTCATTCACTTGTCTTCGCTTTACTGTGCTGATGTAAACTGTGATCACTTGTCCCGATACACCTGAGAATTAGAATTAGTCAAGACCATTTCCTTCTTGTTATCACGTGAGGTTCGATGTCTTTCACTAGAAGTCAGGGTAGTGGCAAGTTTTACAATTCATTTATAGTTTCGTTGAAATCTCAGTCAGCTGATAACTGGGACAGCTTAAAATGCCTTTCGGTGTTTTCTAAAAACAGCAACTCATTACACTTTTACTCAATTTGACCAACTAACTGACAGATATCTGAAAGGCTTTTTTTCTCTACATTGGCTTGTGACAATCTTTTTAAGTGTTAAAACAAAAGTACACAAGCATAATTAGCTTTTACATATGGATTACAAAAATAGCTTAACACACTATTACGTAGTTGTACGCGAAGTACTAACAGTTAGGACTCGCTGAAAATAAGTTCCCACGTGTCAAAAGCTTTAGATAGCAGTACGCGTTGTTTTACTTGCAACCAACAAATTCTAATAGTAACAATTACCTCTTCTGTCCGTTCAGCCATTCAAATCCTTGCTATCTATCTGATACATTCATACAACTTCAATGTTAAGGTTTTCAAGTTGCTTGTATTTTGAAGTGAATACTGTTTAAATTAAGCCTTTATGACATCATTAAAAGTTTCGTTTCTCTGTCTTATTGGGTTATGGATGAGACTTTAGTGATTTCATAAGAGAATTTTCGTTTGTCAAAATCAATTTGTAGAATCCTGGTTTATAGACAAATCTAACTACATGACGTAGGTAAATAACAGCTGCTCAGAAAAACAAATAATTGAATTAAACCTCCTAATGATTTGATTTCAAAACAAGACCACTAGCCAGAAGAATAGGTTTATCATGTAATAAGTTAACGTGCTTATGTAGAAAATACTAACACAAAATAAATGTAAAATATCATAAGCGATTGGAGAAAATTACTTCGTATATCACTCACTCTCCAACCAATAGAAACCTGATTATTGGAACTAGTTCTTGGACATCGTATCATGTTGCTACATGATTTTATCCTCGTTTATCTCCTAAAAATTAACTATTCCACTATTTTCAACGCAGATGACAATCTTCTTATAGGTATTGATTAGTTTATATTTGTCACACTTTCCAGTACAAACGTTTTTATCAATTTTGTCTCTTTTTTCTCATCAGACATAACAAAGGTATGGTTTATGTGACGGATCTGCAGACAAACAAGTATGAATCATTCGTAAGTATGAGTTAAGCAATCATGTTGATTCCTTTAAATGACTTGTACGCTTTGTCTATCGAATAATAATTATAATTATAATAATAATAATTATTATTATACCTTCAAGTTTCATTTTGTTAAAAACTACTTGGACCATTCTATTCTTCATAATTTCATTTTATTTATTAGTACTATTTTTTAGCCAGCTTGCAAAGTTGCTTTCAAATTATTTGCTGTGATCATCTTAATGAAAAAATTAAACCAATTCCTTTGCATCATTGTGGAAGACTAACATCAGTTCTCTGTTTGCTTTTATGCTTTACATTTAGATTTAAAACAGAAACGATAAAAATAACATCGGATTAAAAGTTGAAGATTCTCACTTTTAAACTACTCAGTTATTTATTTCTTTTTGTATTGTTTGTTTGGATGTTCCCATTGACGTTTAGGACTGCAATTGATCAGTCTCTTATTGGTATATGTTCATCCTGTTCTTATTGCGTTAGGTCACAAGCATTATAAGCAAACATGGATGGTGGCTAACAGTGGAATTCAGGACGCGGGCTTCGTCTCATTTGGGACTCATTATCTGGATGTGACTGCATTTCCATTGCATAAGCCAGCGGCTATCCGGCTCAGTAGCTAAATGGATAAGTCGATGGCGTTTGGAACGAAAGGTACTGTTTTCGAGTCCTGGGGTGAATATCAACTCTGGGATGCAGGTACATCCATCTTATGAGTCCCAAATAAGATTTATTTATTCATTTGAACACATAGATATTGATACAAAGGGGCACCGAACACATATGCGCCACACAAGTTACTTGATTTGTTTGTAGGCTGTGGTACTGCCCGGGTGCGCAGACCGAAACGAGTGGTTTTCTTAAGGGGTCACACCCGGAGCTTTCGACTTACAGGTTTGATCCATAAGGCAGTGGAGCAACGTAAAGAGATGCAGTCCCATGGTAGCCGGTGACCAATAATTGGTTCATATGCCATTTTTTCCTTCAGGATCCTTCAGCCCATGTACACCATTGGTATGGAATCAGGGTTTTCCAACTCCCTTAGGTGGATCCTCCATATCCACCAATTTACTAAACAACACCCCAGCCATGATAAGCCAGTGACTAAGGCTTCTGTGGTAGTGACAGTAAACGCGTGGATGTGTGAGAGCATTTCGTGACGGAGAGCTGACCCTCTCCAATCTCGGTCGTACCACGGAATTCGGGCGCTAAGGGGGTGTTGTTGGCAGAGGGGATTCGAACACACGACCTTCGGTCTCGTGTACGAATACCCAAAACCTAGACCTCGCGTCCTGGATTTTACTGCTAGCCACCATCAATCTGTGCTTATAATACTCGGCTGTTTATTCATTTGATTTTGTGTATCACATTTCAATTCAAGTTTCTTTAGATTACTTTGATTTTGAGATCAACATTCTACTGATAGCATACTTTTACAAAATAAAACAAATAGAACCCTTTCCTTGGTGAATAAACTCGCAATATATGGGGACGATTTAATGTTTCCAAACAGCAAATACTGCAGTAAAGTATACCAATTTAAATAACTTAAGAAACCGTCATAATGTTAGTCTACCTATAAAAGAACAGGCTTACACATATTTCGCATCATACTTTACCTAACTCTCATGGTGAACCCCCATGTTTTACAACTGAAACTTGGTGATTAAATTGATAGTGGGTGGGTAATGAATCCGGCTGTTAATATGGCGCACCAAACTTAAAAAGTAGACTAACATTAATGATACTTAAGTAAAATATTGTTTCGGACTAAAATATATTTCATCACGAATTTTAGAATAGGTTATTAGAGATTCAACAACTTATTATCAGAAGTAGCTTTACATTAAGGTTTGTAGCTATCATGCCAGAGATTTTTTGTCTTAAATGACTAGCAAGATAAACTTCTAGAAATAACTAAATTTATCGGCTATGTATTCTTATTTGAACACTCGTCTAATATTCGGATTTTCCGGTGTTATTGTTATATGATTTCCTTTCTTTAACTTCTGTGAAATGTTATCTTCCTATATGTTGTTTGGTTCACCTATTGTGACGATCGGACCGAGTAATGTAGACTTGGACATTCTTTCTTGAGGTTATTCCTGGATCAGTTTGCAACATGGTTTGACAAACAGTATAAAGTATCAAGGTGGATGGTGAAGTTGTGTCACCAATTACTGATGTGATAATAGATTTAGTTAGCAGTAGTTTAGAAGTTAATGCACTGATTGGTAAGCACAACCGTAGTACCAATCGACATATTTAAGCATCAATTCCATCCATGTTTACAAATTATTTACAATTATTTTTTTGTTCCCATATTTGTATGCCACGTACATATCTTTTTGAAATCAGCATAGTTTGTGTCATTACAAACCAGCTACTCTTATTGCTCGGTATTCTTCGGACACCTTATTTCACTAGACTATTCCCCGAATCAAAACACGATTGAACAGGAGTATGATTTCACAATTAGAAAAACGTGAGTATATCCGTAGTTTTACAAGAGAATCTAATCATCTCCCAATATCCCCTCGTGCTGATTGGCTGAGAGATGGTCAATCAGCATGTTCCAACACAATCCCTCACTGAACATGGTTTCATCCAAACTCTGTCTCGCTGTAGGTTTCTGTGTTAGCTTTCTCGTTCTAGTGTAGTTGAGTTGTCTGAGAACAATTGGTTTAGGTTAACGAGAGACGTAGTAATAGTGTTATCAAGTAATGGAAAATTCACGTGATTATGTTGAAATCACTGTTGTTTATGTCATAGTTTTAGCACCACAGTGACAACATACCTGTTTCACCCACAAATTAAGGCCGAGGTATGAATGATGCAAATTACATTTGACCCAGTTAGCAGACGGAGTGAATTTATTACAAATCATGCAACTAGTTTTTCGTTTACAACCCATGATCATCTGTCTGTCCAATGATAAAATCCAACGTCAATTAGGTGACAACGTATTGATACATTAAAGTGACATCTCTCCAGTGAATCGTAATTTTGTTGACCTAGTCATACATCGGCCTGTAACAACTCATTACATGTGAGGATTTTGAGACATGGGTTGTTGTCCCTCGTGTTCATACAGAGCAGCAACTATTTGTTGATGTCAACCTAAAGCTCATTTCTTCTACTGTTTCAGATGCTGAGTTTACTAACTGTCCTAAGCGAAAATTTCGTATCTATCGCCCCACTCTAGAAGTGGATTTTTAACTGTTATTTCATTATTTTAAAAAGTTTTCTCACTGCGTGGAGGTATTTAATAGCGCTTTTTGATTAAGTGCATAGCTCCTCGAAATAATTTCAACAAACAGACTGGACCTTATACCCAAACGAGTTCCGAGTCATCATTAAGAAACTTGGATCATTTGGACATGTGTAGCAAAGATGTATAAAACAAATCGCTTGTTTTATTCACTAATATAAAATTATACGAACCAGGTTCATACATAAAAAACTAATGAGTTTTCCCACTAAGTGTAAGCTTTAAAATAAACAGTATTAAAAGTTAAAACCAATAACACTCGTTAAAAAGTTCATTATATTGAACTGAACACATTCTTTAAATTGACAATGAACTATGTTTCTCATTAATGAAAACTCCTTACTTGTTCCCCATCCACGTAAATATGTAATTGATTCTACCATATGCTCACATCTATATGCATAGAACTTTACAGTATATTAGTTATATTGTTATTATAAGCAGATTAGCATATCACTAATTCGTGATGTCTTGTTTACTAAGTTGATAGATAAAGCGAAGTTAGGATTTGGGTTATGTGTGTAAATATGGGTTAGTTTTTTGGGAATCGAATTTTATTATTGCTTAACATATTTTGACCTACACTTGTTAGAGTACAGGCGGTTGTATAATAGTTCTCTTTGTTAACTTTTTTTGTTCTATAAGTAGGTGTAAAACTTTTGTACCAGCTTTGATTACTAACAAATATTTTGATCCTACAGGTTCAGTTTTTTTTTTTCATTTTAATCAAGGCTGTAAATCCACGATCAAAAGCTGATGTAAATGCTGTTACTACACTGGATCGATCAAGTAATCTTATCCTTGCGGGTAGTGATGATACAAATGTTAGAGTAAGCTATTATTTAGATGTTTTCATCCCATTTCCACCTATTTACAAAACTTACATTGGTCTCTGTCCAGTTCAGAAACCTTTTATGTAAACCGAGTTAATATATTTGACCATAATTAATTATTAGTGATTGAAAATATCTTAATTTTGTAATGTTTTACTTGTCACACAGATTGTAGCGGATTTACTTATGGCTGTATTTCTGCCTTTTTTCACGATGGTCAAACATTTAGTATGCTCTGATCCCGTACCCCTGATCATAGATTAGTATCTCCAACTTTCACGTGATTTGTATCCTTGAGTCAAGTGAGTACACGGATCTGTAAAAGTTCTAGGTTAAAACTAAATATGAAATCAGACAGTAATTCTATTTACTTTAGCTATGAATAAAATAATTTAAGTCACTTGACAGTGTTTTGATGTAAAATCTAGATAGACGTTCGTGGTACAGTCGCTGCTCATTAATCTTTGCTGTGAGTATTTTTACTAAATTCCCTTGATTGTCGTTTCGTGGTATTAAACAGTGGAACTTAGTTTCGTAAATCTTTGTCAGATATCTAGTAAAAGTTTGTGCAAGTTATTTTTCTATTTCCTGTAAGCTGCAATCATTCTTCCACTGATTTCTCTTGTTTGTACAATAGGTAGTATAAATAAGAACTTTCGTCTAAATTTGAACGAATAGTTTCACATTTGGGCGCCGAGTTAATGTGAGTCATTAAAGAGGAAGAATTTGAGATTTTACAAATACATTCTTCCTCTTTAATATGTAGTATAAGATTTAATTAGTTAATGGACATAACTGACAGGTGATTCATTTTTACTTTCATTGAAATAGTAAACCGATCAATGTTAGACCGCCATTAGAAAGCTGGAAGCACTGGACGGCTGTGTTGTCCTATTATGGGACTCCTCAACAGTGCTTGTCCATTATTCCGCACGTGGGATTCAAACCCAGGACCTTCGGTCACGGTCACCGACGATTAATCTTTGTATTTTGTTGTAACGCATGTAGCTACTTATAGGTATCATAACTGTTTTTAAAGAAATACTTTTAACCCGTATTAGGCTATTGCATACGTAAAGTTTTTAATTTAATAGGCACATGAGCCCATGCAGTTCGCACATGTGAAATATCAAGATGTTTTCAGTTCACACACTGAGTAACGTTTAATTCAATAATCATTAGCGTTGACCTTGAAACTTTTCGACTAGAAGGGTGCATCTGAATAGTTTTCCACCATTGTACTATATTTGGCTAAAGTATATTGTAATGACGTACCAATCAAACCGTAGGTTGCGAGTTCTTAGGTTATAGGACACCTAAACAACTAAGTAAGCTTCGAATTAACCTTCTGTTAATGTTTTTAATGATGTTATGCTACAACGTTTGTAAGGACTGGTTATGATTAGAAGATAAAAACATGTGATAGAAGTATAGTATGTAGACAAACCAATCAGATTTGATGTAAAGTTTATTCATACATACATACATACATACATACATACATACATACATACATACATACATACATACATACATACATACATACATACATACATACATACATACATACATACATACATACATACATACATACATACATACATACATACATACATACATACATACATACATACATACATACATACATACATACATACATACATACATACATACATACATACATACATACATACATACATACATACATACATACATACATACATACATACATACATACATACATACATACATACATACATACATACATACATACATACATACATACATACATACATACATACATACATACATACATACATACATACATACATACATACATACATACATACATACATACATACATACATACATACATACATACATACATACATACATACATACATACATACATACATACATACATACATACATACATACATCTGCAATCTCGCCACCTAATGTTGAACTCAGTAATCTTCGGTTTCACTCACAAAGGTCTAACCTCTAGACAGACTACTGAAATAGAATCCAGAGGTTTATACGTATAATTTAAATAACTTTACAAAGAAAAGAGAACTCTTCTCAGGACTTTCGCCGACGTTTCCTAGTTCGGTTGCGTTACCGCGCTGGGCGCACGCCGAACCAAAGGCCCGACACCAGTCTCCGTGAACAGGGTCGGGAACATTAACCCGATTCCCTTTCGCTACAGGAGGCTGCAATGCAACAGTACTTTGCAGATTACTGAACAAAACCCGCGAACGGACAATGTCAGGCACTCCGTCTCTGTTCCAACTTTCCGGATCACTTAGGACCGCTTGACCGATGGTCAACTCGGCCTTTAAGGTTCTCACCTGAATATTTGCTGCTACCACCAAAATCTGCACCTGTGGTCGCTTCACCTATGCTCACGCCTGAGGTTCCCCGCTAGCCACATCGACCCTCCTAGTCGTTACCGTCACTCCATGTCTGAACCAAGTGCAGCTTGCCCCCACACAGTATAGACTCAGCTTACAGCAACGGTCCGGTATAGGTTCAACGCTCGAACACCATTCATTTTTAGGGCTGGTTGATTCGGCAGGTGAGTTGTTACACACTCCTTAGCGGCTTCCGACGTCTATGGCCGCGGTCCTACTATCTAGACTAACCAACACTCTTTACGGTACCGCATAAGTGTCGTGTTGGGCACCTTCTTCGAACGTTTGGTTCATCCCACAGCGCCAGTTCTACTTGCCGAAAATGACCCACTTGGCACTCACATTCAATGTAGAACTCCAATTAAGCGAATTAAGCTTCTCACCCACTTAAAGTTTTTGAATAAGTTAGGGATGATTTCTCTCCAATACCTCTAATCATTCTCTTTATCGGATAAAACTGTTTATTTCTCAGAATGCCAGTTATCCTGAGGGAAACTTCGGAGGGAACCGGCTACTAGATAGTTCGATTAGTCTTTCACACGTCAGAATCACTACGGTCCTCAACCAGAGTTTCCTCTGGCTTCAACCTCCACAAGCATAGTTCATCATCGTTCGGGTCTCAACGTGTACACTCTTGCTCCTCCCCAACGGTGCACGTTATGATGCTTATTGTTTAGAGTTTGTACATATTGATTATCGTGTTTTGGTTCCTTTCTTAGCTTTTTGATATTCGTGCATTGAACAAAGGGTGTCAAAGTTTATTTTCTGGACATGTGGACGGTATCACATATTTGGATTCAAAGGTACTGTTGTTTTTCTGCATTTGATTAATTTCATAGTTATGTTTTTATTATCATATCAAACCCATAGAAAATGTATAGTTTTTAAAAAGATAAGAAGTATGAGTTGATTTATATGAGAACTTTCGTCTAAATTTGATCAAATAGTTTCATAGTATTTTGACGCCGATATGATGTGAGACATCAAATAGAAAGAATGTATTTGTAAAATCTCAGCGAATAAAGTTGAAGTAAACCCAACGTTTCGCCTGGCAATCTGGTCCAAGCCCTTCAAAGAAAATATAATCAAACATCAAAATTATTGCTGTTTGTTTATGAGTTGATAAGTTTACATTTTTAGTACTAACCCACAGAAAGTCTCATTATACTTCATAATTAATGGAATTGTGATTTATTTTAATTTTGAATGCTGACTGGAATAGTTCATTTGTTTGCACTAATGTCAATCATTTCGTTTCCATTATGGTAATGTGATTACTCACTATTAGCTTAGTTGTTTGTATAGTAAGTTCCTTTACTCGTTTTACAGAGATCCTCAATGCCTTTATAAAACTGGAGGAAATACTCTCGCAACACCAAATACCTTGAAAAAAGAACACATACAATCCTCTATTATTTTCTCTCAATGATCATACATTCTGAATAGAAATACCATGTTCTGATTAAATTTATTTGAATTACTAAAGAAGATTAATTAAGCGGACTTCTACTGCATTGCATAGTGCGTACTTGGATTCTTAACTAATAACCAAGTTACGCTTAAAAGTACTGTGTTGCTATGAAAAATAAAGTCAACACTCCACTCCTTAGATACTGAGATGTCTGGCCACAGTGAAGGAATGATGCGTTTAGGATATAACTTAGTTATTCGCAACTCCGCTTTCAATGCGATGTGCGAGACAGTTTTCATAGACGGTCAAAGGGCGAAACCTCGTGCATTAGATTTCATGCGAATAATATCTCTATTGATCGCTGTGAAATTGCCGTAGTGCTTGAATACGAAGATATTTGGGTCCAGCTACATAATCTCTGAAAATTAAGCAGTTGTACACGATACGTAAAGGTTCAAAGTAACGAAAAAGTTGTTCTAGTCCTCCATCGAGAGGTTTCTGTGACTGATCGTCTTCTGAATTAACAGATCATTGGTTAATGCAAGTTGACTGTCCACAAATGACTGTAGTAAAGCGTGAAAAGTTGATATCCTACATAGTCTTTTGTAGATAACTCGGCCCTTCACTTAAACTAATTAGAATGTATAAGAAACATAAAGTCTTGCCAATTGGTGTGATATTAACTGTTAACAAAAAAAGGTTGGCCAATTCATCCCATATAAGTTATAACAATAAGACAGTTGAACGAGCGGGTTAAGTGGTTTTCTCGTTGCAGTACGTATCCCATTTGATGACTGAGTAGTATACCTCAAACATTTTATCTATTCTAGGGTGATGATGTGTACTTTTTGTCAAACAGTAAAGATCAAACGGTTAAACTATGGGATACAAGAAAGTGTCGTGAATCGGGGAAAGAAACTGTAAGCAGCGTCTACTATTTTTTATAATACGATCATTAACGGCATTGATTTTATTGCTCTGAACTTTTTAAAAATAAGTCTGTTCATGTACGTTGTAAGTTGCCTGCTAAACTAACGATCGCAAATAATACTTGTTCTCATAGTAGAAATCATAAAGTAATCCTAGCTAGATCACCATTGGAAACCTAAAAACACTGGACGAGTGTTTTGTCTTAGTATGGGACATCTCAGCAATGTGCATTCACGACCCCAGATCCGGAAATAGAACCCAGGTTCTTTGGAGAACATGAAGGCATCCTTTCAAAGTTCTTTTCGCTTCAATCTGACTGATAATATGGACAAGGAAGAAAGCTCTTTGTCTTGAGTTTTACATTACTAAGCATGACAACAGATTAAGCTTTTTTGATGAGCATCCGTCAGTAAATAATTTAGTCAATAGAATTTGTTGGTAAGCTAGACAATTTGCAAATAAAGAAGTTGTTACAATATTTGAATGATTAGAATAAAATAGGATAACATAGAAATTCCTGCTAGTGACTTATATAACGTTCCTTCACAGTGATGATTATATTAAAAAAAAGATATAAAAAAACTTATGTAGAGAAAGTTGTTGGTTTATAATCTAATGGCATTGTAATTTAGTTATAAACATGACGTGATCTGTATAAATTATTTAGAATTTTGTATATCAAGTACTTCTTCATGTAAGTGTCTATGCTATGAAGGTAGAATTTTATAATTTTGCTAATAGGTTTAAAGTTACTGAAATGATTAAATCCAATACTAATCGATGGATAAAATAAGATATTATAATGCAACGAAGTGATAGCTATCCCAGTTCGAAACGATATCAGAATGCATAACAGCAGCCCATTAGCATAGGCTTTTTTCTCACAAAACAACATACATATATACAAATATTCAACACAAGAATAAAAATGATCAGAAATCATTTCACAAATAAACGGCTGAATGATGTAGGAACTATGGATTATTTATTCACCAACTAAATTAATCCCTAACTATGAAGCTTGATACCTATTTCCACACCGCCCCCTCCCGCTTATTATATCAGTCTACAAAAATGGTCGTTTTCATGTCAATATCTTACGGTACAGGATGCACTATATATGTTTCGTTTAATGTGGTGTGACATTTCATCATTCTTGATAGTTTAACATTTCGAATTTCGTTACACTTTTATGACCCAATATCCAGGCTAACCTCAGTTGGTGATTACTTTATTCTCTGTAATTTACCTTGTATCTATTCCGCAATATTTCTTTGATTAGACTGAATTTATTCCTAACCGTTTAGGAATTGTGTTGTATCTCTCAGATTCCTACGTTCATTTGGTGGATATGTGCTACTTCGTAGAGTCATTTCATTTTGAACCCTAACTTTTATTAGATATGTATTTTTATTCTTATTGGGTTGAAATACACTAATATCTTCATTGTGAACACTTAAGGACAATTCCAGATGCTTGAAATTAGATATTTATTATTTCACTACAATATCCAGGACCAGCCCACTAAGTGGACAAACAAATAGCCGATAAGGTTGAATGCAATACACGTATTGAATGGTGAAGGTATTACGGATAATCTCAGCTTGTTGTCTGCTTAAGTCCTTATTATCTTTCAACTCTTAATAAAGTACTTCCAGTGATTAGATTGGAATACTATCTTAGTTACAGCTCTATTATTAATATTACTTAATCTTTATGTAGTATTTTAGTAAATGATAACAACACCATATATCATAAAATTCTCTGTAAATGGGTTAAAGCAGAAATCGATCATTAAGGGTTTGTGTATTGAGTTAGCTTCCATTGCAAGTATCAACAAGAACTCAATTATTATTCAATTTTAAGAATCTGAAATACTCTACTATAAACGATATCGTGCTTATCAGAGGAATGTCAACAGTGTGATCAGTATCGACCTAATGTCGTTTAAATCCTATTCCAGTGATACAATAATGAACTTTTGTTAAAATATCATGTTACTGTTTATCGGGACGTGTTAATAATATATGCAATATATCTATACATCTACTGTCTGTTACTAACAAAAAACCCTATTAATTCCTGTGGTTTGCATCCATTGCTGTTTACAGTCAAAATTGGCTTTAATAACATTATTATAATAATGTTTCTTTGTGTTATTTTTTTGCCTTTAGCGAATGACTCCTCGTTCTACTTGGGACTATCGAATTCATCCGATTCCACGTGGATGTAAGTTAAATTTTGCAGTTTATTGCAAAACATTTCTCAAAACTATATTTTTATTAACTGGTTGGTTAAAAAAATAAAAAAACTACACATTTATACTTGTCATTCATGTAGAAGCCTATTGATTTGTTTCATGTTCTGTCATCTGGTTCAGTTGTAAATGCATAATTCTTGTCACTATCAACCTGACTATTCATAGAGAAATGAGTAAGGTAAGCTTTATTGCCAAAGGGCCAGTAGTTATGCTTAAAGCTTATGAGGACATATTGTTAAATCTTTATAATAACGATTAATTTTATGTACAACGGTTATATCTCTTAGGGCTGCCGACCAGCCCAAGGTACTGGCGAATTAAGGGACGATGAGCCATTCTAATACGAAAGGTTTCATTGCAGACTGGATAACGACAACTAAACTCTAACACAAAAGAAAACTGGATATTCAAACAGAGTAACTTGAAATAGTACAACTCAGTCAATATAGTAACGAAAGCACGAACTTCAAGTGTACAGAAAATTAGCGAATTCAGAATAGTGCCAGCTAGTAAGAAAAAGGGCAAAGATCAAGCGAAAAATCGAATTAAAACAAAAACATTCGGGTTTACCTTTCATAGTAATACCAATTATGAATGATTATGAAAAATAACTGAGTAATCCTGCATTAGCACATATATATGTGTCAGGATTAATCAAGATAAGGCCCCCAAATGTCCTGGTACGGCCGAGGTTGGGGAGAGTCAGCTCTCCCTCTCGAAATGCTCTCACATATCCACGCGTTTACTGTCACTGCCTTATCGCGACGGGAGTGAGGACGAAAAGCGAATGTCCGGCGCCTTAACCGGGTTGGTGGCTATTGAGGATCCACCTAGGGAAGTTGGAAAACCCTGATCCCAAACCAATAATGTACATGGGCTGCAGGATCCTGAAGGAACAAATCGCGTATGAACCAGTCATTGGTCAACGGCTACTATTGGACTGCATCTCCTTACGTTGCTCCACTGCCTTATGAATCTGTTATATCAGTGGTACACGTTCATTTTAATACCTAATTGTACCGGTATGTATGTGTACGGAATAAACTTTACAGAATATTGTTTTGAAAATCGTATTTTATAAATAGCTAATAAATAATTAACATTATTTTGTAACCTTCTTTAAGTCAAATTTTACTGCTTGAAGATGTTTTCCGTCCAATATGATATTTCTAACACTTCTACGTTTCAATGTTTATGATGTTATATCATACCTAGATCCCGTACCTTCTAAACAAAATTCTTCTAAACCTATTCGAGGTGATAACTCTGTGCTTACACTTTCTGGACATAAAGTTCGCAACACGTTAATTCGAGCACGTTTTTCGCCTGCATTTAATACTGAACAAAGATTTGCTTACTCTGGAAGTGCTTATGGTAATTGGTATATATGGGATTTGTATTCCGGAAAAGTTGTAAGTCATTCTGTCCCCTCTTTATCTGATAATCTGTCAAAGTTTCGTAAAATTGTTCTTTTTTTTTCAATGTAGACAACACTCTTCGTGACTTCGTTGTTTCTTGAAATCTTAATAAATTTGTATCTTTAATACCTGTGATAATAACGCTCGAAGTTTCCTCATCTTTACGAATGGGATGTTAATTTGCCTTAGACGAATATCTACGCTAGATTCCCTCTCACTGTCTATTCTACTGCACTTCAACACAGCTCAGATCTATAACACGTGATTAACCTAACTAGAAGGTAAATACATTTCCACACCAAAAAACCGACAACAATCAATGATAATAAGGATAGGAGAATATCTAAATCATTTAACGCCTGTCAGACTCTACTAGTCTGACTAAGCAAACAACCAATCATTAACATTCTCCCCCACACACTTCCCCAATTATTTTGTAGAAAAATTTACTGAAACTGATTCCTTCTTTCTTTTTAGTTTCTTTACATATGTGATCTGTTTTAACAGAATCACAACAATAATATACGACAGTTTCAAACGTAGGTGAAAAATAATGTACTTGACCGAACGTATTCAGCTCATTTAAATTAGTTTAATAGGTCCATTTCAAGTGATTTGTGTCCAGCCAATGAGTGCTGATAGATATTTGTGATGTGTGTGTCACGTGATCAAGCAATATTAACTTTACAACATTTGAGGCTACCAGCTTTTCTTTAATAGTACGTAATAGTCATGCACTGTATATAATTTTTCGGAAACGTACTACTTGCACATTTTTAAGATTGCCTTTGCTTCATTATGTTCAATAAATGTAAAACGTTAAAGCCGTCGAAGAGCTTAACTTCTGAAGAACTCGATAGTTGTTTTGAACAATCGTAACAGGTATCAGACAAGTGTATAATAATTAATTGGAAGTGTATTAAAGAGAACAAGCTAAACTTGTGTCAAATAAATGCTACAAAACCTCAGCTGAACCGTGAAATTTACATTGAAAAGAGATCGTAATTCAATTCAAAATCTATAATTAAAAAAACGAGAAAAAATTCAGACAAACATTCATAATTCTTTGCGAATGTATAACTCATCACATTATTATAATACAATGGTGCACTTTATACTATATTGTTGTTTATTTGTTTTATAGGTTAAACATTATTCGTGTGATGGGCATACAATACGAGATATAAATTGGCATCCATATGAACAGCAAATAGTTACCTGTGGTACAACGGGTGATATAAGTTGTTGGGTATATAATCGGAATAAAATGACACGTTCCAAGAAAAAGTCTCAGAAAAAACAAGAAAGCAAACATTTAAATTCTTCTCTACCAATCGTAGAAGCTGATGACGAAACATTTCATGAACTACGTAAATTAGCTAAAGCTGGTTTAAAATATCGGGTAACTAAGTTGTTGTCATTATCGGTTATTTTTTAAACGTAGAAATTTACAGAATTGCTGTTGGTAAGGAAAAGTGTTGTAAATATTGCATATGTTTAAAAAACCTTTGGAAATAAGGTCACTTTAGCTAAGGATGCATTCATTTTTTGTCTTAAGGTACTTGTATTTTTTGTTCTGTGAATTCAGTTTCTTTTCGAATCCTATTGTTTCTGCCCTCCCCTTTTTTGCTACTCTGACATTTGTGATAAATTCTCACTACATTAATGCTATCCGACAGCTTTAATCGATGTGCCAGGTTCTACTTTACTCGATCGACTTACTTATCTAGTAAACTAAATACAGATCGGTGTATACGGTTGGCTTTGACTATTACTTGTGTTGTAACAACTCATGATGCAACACTGGTCTAGCTAAAATACAAGGAGTACAATTCGAGTATGCGGCTGACAGTCATAAGTTTTAATCACTATGCTACCACTCACCTAAGATTATTTCGTAGAGGTTCTCAATTCGCGCGTCTATAAGATATGCGTACATAAAAAAATTCATCACAACTATAAAGACTACCATTTTTTATGTACACTATTTAGCATCTTCAACTATTAAAAGATGCTAAATACCTTGTCGGCCAATCGACAATAATTTTCTGACAAATAATCGTCTCCATCTATGTAAGGTTTCACTAGTATCGCAATAACAACTCAGAGCTCACTAAATGAAACAATTCTCCGTTAATATATTTCACTGTATCCAAAATTACAATGTATATATCTTCAATGTCACTTCGATGTAAAGTATGGCAATTTTGTTTGTCATACCTGTAAAACTGGGATATGTATTGAAGACGTTATTATTTATGCAGCACTAAACGCTGTCTAACGTTGTTATAACTCTGTGTTTCTTCTTACGGTTAATGACCCAGCTATTCCTATTGCTTAGTATTCTCGGACACCGATTCACTCGACAAGTCCCCAAATCAGAACACGGTTGAACAGGAAAAAGATTATATTCCAAATAGCAAGTCAGAAGCCAGTAGGAAGCACAATAGGGGAAAACGTCGGTATATTTATAGTTTTTACATAAGAAGATTCCAGAGTATTCTCCGACTATCGACTAGTGCTGATTGGATAAGAATCAGCGTGCACCAAAACAATCATGCATTGAGCATGCTTTAATCTAGTCTATGTCCCGCTAACAAACGTGTTTAAGACAAGTTGTGATTACCTTCTCTATTGACCGAATAACCAGTGTAACATTATTGATCATTCTAATGTTCTATACCAGTCAGTTTTTTGTCTAACCTATTGTTGTATATCCATTAGGATGACGCATATTTGCGAGTGTTTTGTAAAACAAGTTTTTAATTGGCACTTTATCGTTGTGTTATTTAACAGATAAGTTTTTCATAACAAAACATATTCGTAGTGCAATCTTCCTTTTGTCAGTGAATTGTTTCATGCTATTTATCAAGCATTTAATCGGTCATTTAGTTGATCTTGGCTGCAACATGAACATGCGGATTAACGTTTAATTTACCTAAACTAAATTTACAGCAATCAGACTTAAATTTGCATTACTATTGAATTTATTTCGAAATAATAGTCGACTTCAGAATATTATCCATGCATCACAAATGGACTTTAATAACTATAAGAAAACTATCAAAATATTCGTCATGTTGGATACATAGTGGGCTAGCAGGTACTGAAGGTTTTATAGTCTATATTTATATGAGCAACATTCTGTGAATTTAAATTCTCGAAGTTTCTCTTTTCCTAATCCTTAGGTAAAAGGAATTTTTGAACGCCACAAGTCATCAATATTATCCCGCTTTATTGGATCTAGCGATTCAGAAGATGAAGATTTTATTACTGATTATGAATCAGATGAAAGTTCCATTTTTCCATTTGATCATTACTATTCCTTTATTGATGACGTATATTTTGATGAATACTATGAAGATATTGATTCAGACTTTTATCCACCATCTGATGATGAATTTCTTTTCGATACACAATCATATATACCTCCATTAACACGCAATCAACAGAGACATTTAAATCCCGATGAAGAATTAACCACTGAATCTATTAATAATGGATCCACAGCCAGGAATTCTCAAAGACCTAGCACTAGACCAAATAATCGCCAAACAAGATCAGCAACTCAGAGGCAAACCCAACAAATTACTCCACAAAGGAGTATTCGTCGTTCATCCAGGAGACGTACACGAGGAAGGTCTAGGAACTAGAAACATTATTCATATTATCAGTAGAGATTATTCATGCGAATTTTTCATATTTTATTTGTTTCAATAAAAAAACATATTTATGTTTCGACGTTCACATCCTTTTTTTCTTCACAATCATAAGTTTAGAATATGTTTATTTTTTGTCTAAACTAAGGTAATTAGGAAAACCTGTACAATCAATGCAATTCTTGCTAGGTCATTTCTGTAGTTTACACAAGCTGATCTAACTTATGTAAGTACAGTTTGAGAATAACGGTATTTGTCCATGAGAATTACTGTTTACTGAATACGCAACATCTAATTATTCTATCGATCCCTTCTTCACACTTGGCCATAGTTAAAAGATTTTTGATCATGAAATCCATACATGAAGCACTAAAACTAAACTTATTTTTGTATTGGTTGTTTGGATCTCTCCATCATTGTTTAGGACTGCAATTGATCAGTCTCTTATTGGCATATGTTCATCCTGTTCGGACTGCCTAGATATTGACTTGAGTTACAAGCATTATAAGTAAAGATGGATGGTGGCTATCAGTGGAATCCAGGACGCGTGTCCCGTGCTATTTGGTACTCGTCAGCTGGATGTGCCTGCATCTCCATTGCACAAGCAAATGGATAAGTGGATAGTGCAATGGCGTTTGAGGCAAAAAGTACCGTGTCCGAGTCCTGGAGTGAATATGAACATCCAGATGACGCGTCCTGGAATCCACTGCTAGCCATCATCTAATTCTGCTTATAATTCGAACTATACTTAATTGTACTTTTTAAAATATCTATTGTGAATTCAAACACGTCAAGTAAAATCGTTTGCTCACATAGTTTTTTTCTCGAAAAGATCCTGTTATAATTCTGTTGGGTTCGATTAGATGGCACGGTCCCTATAGTTTGTTACTGATACATATACATTAACTTTCAGTCAACCAAGCCAAATTGATTTTCCTCATTATTAAAATGAAGTGCCAATGTTCACAAGTTCGAATAATGTGATTATCTGAGTAAAAACACCCTCAAAATCTTATAATTATTTTCTGAACTCAATCAATGATTGATAAAAAACAACTAAAGAGTAGAAGAATATTTGTTTACAGTAAATGAAATATATGTACATATTATTTTCAGTTCGTGCAAAAATTCGTAGTCATGGATAGTCACAAAATGTAGACGTAGAATTAGACGTGCTCTATTGTATAATATACATAGGATAAAGATTTACATAGAGGATTTTTATCGGCTATTCATTTCTCGTCGTGAAGAAATTGTCTGATACACAGAGATGACATGAATAATAAATATACATAAAACTATGATATCATCTAAAATTCCTATGAAACCGGCAACTACATCCGGAATAAAATCGAAAGGTGTAATCAAATAAAACAAAACACATAAACCCAACAAAGTTAAACGGATTTGCATCAAAGCGAATGTGCCTTCACCACTAAGTAATAATTGTATAAATCCATAAACAAATAACGGAATGTCTTTAATACGATCAATTATCTGAAAAAGAAAACAAAAATAGCCGGATACTATTCGATGATTGTGGAGGGGAACATCGTAAAAACAATCACTCAAGCTACTCCTCTATAAACGAATTTATTGTCATAAAGGTTACTTGATAATTAGATAGTCGTTCACTGGTTAAAACGCTAAGCATCTGCTAAGAGACGAAGGTTTTTGGTTCAACCCTGATGAAATCGTGAATATGCACTATTAGAATTCCATGCTAAGACAACTGTCCGCTGTTTCCTAGTTGTCACACTAGGACTGGTAAGCAATGAAATTCACTAGTCTCCACAAACCAACTCCCACAGTGATGGTAATTGTCTGCTGTTAACAAAGTGGGGAAGTCTTAGTAGAGCTATCTCTGTGGACTGTATTTCAGAAAAACACACTTCCAGTGTACCTTGTTTTCTCTTGTTGGGACATTGAACGAGTTATTCAAAACAAACGAATATGAAAGAGCACAAAGTGTAGTTTTATTTTAAAATATTAGGAAATCCGTAAAATATCTTATTAACACTAAATACGGTAAAATCACATTGTTAAACTATCACTGATATTACATTATTGGTAACAGCCTAGATGGTTGGATACATACATGCCAATTCATATGTTCCGTCATATTAAGAAGACACAAAATAAACATTTAACTATGATATTCTATCTACCATCTTTCTTAGATTGTTTTTATCTGCTCAGACAAACTGAACCGTATTTTTCCCAGCAACTTTATTAAATATATAAAGAATTATTTAATTTGAAGTTATTGCTTGTCACAAACTCTTCAATCTATCTAATAATTATACTCTAGTAACTGGTTTTAAGGTACGTTGTTAATGTTTTGCTGAAAAACAATGCTGTTGTACAGGCATGTATATAACTGTTGGTGATTGCGATTAAATGATCTAAATATTTCATGTTCGGGTTGACCTTTTGCAAGCCATGATCAATTTACTTGAATCCTACTCATAAGTTTCAATGTTTTCTGTTGACTACTTGCAACCAATTAACATTAAATGATATTTTTGGAGTGTTAACTCTGAACGATATTACATTTTCTCACATAGTCTGTAAATCAGAATAGGTAGCTTTAATCAATAACTAGTAGTAATTATTTTTTAATTGAATAGAATACGCTAGACAAAGGTATGGATTACATTGTGACGAACAGGGAGCACATTTGAAGAGAATAAATAAAAGTTCATTATAACAAGAATAATGTATAGTCGCAGAGATAGTTCTGTTAGTAACACATACGATATAATTTAAATTCTTTCAGTTTAAGCAGTCCTCGCATTTATGAAGAATGTAAAAGTAAATTGCAGCAAGATTGCCATGGATTTCTGTTCAGAGTCATATCTAATAACGTCTCGAGCCACTCAATTCCACCATCTCTTGGACCCCAAACCAGAGAATCGTGATGCACCGACAGATGACAGTCCTACACAGCTTCCTTTCATATCACGATGCCACGATATAAACTGGTCAATTCTCTGCTTTTCCAACCAGTCCCAGCGTCGGTATTAAATGCAAAATATGTAGTTCGCTAGGATGACATTGATGAAACGTGTCCAGGCAACCAAGCCGGTGTTTCGAGATAGTGACAGTAATTGCATTGTCGTCACTAAGCATGGACGCATATCGGTGGGCCTCATCATTAATGAGAAGGTGTCGTGGTTGGATACCAGCAATTCCTCAAAGGCAATGATCGTCGAACATAGAGCTGCCTACTTTCTTCGATTCGGAGAGGTTTAACATACATACAAGAAAGTTGATCTCACAGACGCGTTGTTGATAAGGCCTTTCACAAACAGATAAACATCCCGACGGCACCAAAGATGACCTAGATCGGTATAAGTCAGTTTTGTTTTTACTATACGTAGAATGGTCTCATCAGTCAAGCCAACACTAACACTCATACAACAACTCAGATACACGAACGTTCCGACTACTTCTAACGGCTCACTTCCAATTATGAGTGCCGAAATAGGCTTGAGTATTATTGCGCACATTAAAGACAATATCAACTGCAAGACCGGGAAGTCTTTCTTCTGGTAGCAGATCCACACCACTAATACCTAATTTCATGAGAGCTGTTTCCAGTGTCATCGATGGCAAAGTTGCAGAGGAATGGTGGGGCTGGATAACCCTGGTTGACCTCACTGCTAGAATGAAATAGTGAAGAGAGGTGGTTGCATGTCCTTACTCCGTCTGAGGTGTTTGTATATAAGGGCTTCAATATGCTAATGAAGTTTTCAAGCACACTTTTCTTTAGTAGACCATCATAAAGTACATTTCTGTTCAACACATCGAAGGTGGTCTGTCATCAGGGTTGCTTCCGAGTTCAGTCAACAAAAATACATACATTTATAGTCAAACTTTATGCTTCTTCGGTTTTACTTTACAACCAACTACAAATTTTACGGCTGGAATACGCCAGAGTCAATCATATGGAATAGGGCGAAATATCAACCAAATAGGTTGCTCGAGTTAATGTCAATTTCGATTAATCTACAAAAATAATTTATTTATGAAATGCATCGTAAGAAATATACGGTGCATTTCAAGTTTATTAAAAGTATTCTGAATTGAGATTATTATCAAAAAAATGAAAAAAAACTTTTTATTTACTTTCTTTAAACAAACTTACTGAAATCGGTTCGCCTGAATGCCAACGATTGAATAATCGTAAATCTGCTTCAATTTTTGATCGTCTAGTGTTCTCACGTTGTAACTCTTCTGCGGTGAATAATTTAGTCAACGTTGAAACCTGAACACCACATAAAACATTTCTTTAAGATAAATCATCTGTAACTAAATAAGTTATAAATTATGAATCATAAATGTTGGTTGATTGATTATTGAAACGGTCCCACCAGTGAAACACTAGTCAAAATGTGACCAACTAAACAACCACTATTCACAACTGTTCAGTGCATTAGCAGCATTGTATGAAAAACTGCTGTGAAAATCTTCCAATCAATAAAGTTGTTTGTGATAAATCTTCTGAATGAGCGGTTTCCTAAGAGCCTCTAGTAACGTATATGACAACTTGAAAATGAGGGAAAAGTCGCGAAATGTAGAAAAAACACCTTACTCCAAGGTCGGTTTATGTACAGAAAGTCGATGGTCTTTCAGATGGCCTTTGGCTTTTGGAAGGTTCTGGAACCTTACTAAAAATAGTAGGATAGGCAATCATCAAGTCGGAAATTTGACACGTATATCTTCACCTTCTAGACGTTTCTGATGAACTTCTATTCAATGCTGATTAGGTGATTTTAAGGCCCCTTTGGGTTTTATATATATTGGGCTCATCCTCTTTTTTTGATAAAAATGCGTAGACATTGAAAGGAAAAATCACTATTCACCTCGTAGTCTTCACTTTCACTATTGAATTTCCATTTATCACTCAATGAATAACTCCTTGTTAAACTATTATGAGTGAATATTTTCCACATAACTAATAGTTTTCATAACCTAGTAAACACACACAT